AGGGCAGAGACAGACTCCTTGCAAGGCAGTGAAGTTTCCATTGGTGATAAGAAACAGCCTCAGCATTGTCTTGTAGCCATCCTGGAATGGGAACGCTCAAGTGCCCAAGCTCAGGGGCCACCTTTGGGCAGCAGAACTGGGCTGGGGGATGGACCCACAGCTGGGCTGAGGTGCCCCATGCTCGCTCGGGATTGGTGCTGGTGCAAGTGTGTATAAGGAATCTGCGCATGACTGCATCTTTGCAGGCTCTGTGTAGAACTGTGTATTGTGGTAGGACTCTGCCCAGTGCATCGTTCATTACAGTTTTCTTTTATATTTAAGCACAAAAGTGTTTTTAATTTGCCTCGAGAGGTACCACAAAAATTCCCCAAGAAGAGTCTCGGTACTTTTCTCTCAAGAGTCATGAATTCTGTCTTGGAGCTTTTTCAAATGCTTCCTGCACAACTTTGCTCTAAAGGCAATCTTTCAAAGTGTTTCCAGGGAAGTGAATGAGGTGGTGATTTCACAGATTGGCTTAAGCCAGTGCAAGCACAGAAGGGATGCTGCCAGTAGCTTCCCTCTCTTGAGATTAACATGCAGAGCTGGGAAGCCAGGGCAGGGAGTGAGGTTGTTCTTTTGGCAGCACCGTGGTCTTAAATCAGCCTAAGCTAGCCGTGAAACACCACGTAGCCCAAGGGGCAAGTTGTCTTACAGCACTCTGTTGAAACAGAAAGGAACTGGGGCCTTCAGTCCCCAGTTCCATCTTTACCAACTGACCTACCAATGTCTCCTTTCTGAAACAATATCCTAAAATGTGAGAAATAAATTAATTGTTGTATTTGGTCCCTCCTTTATTTTGTTGATATTTTATTGAAAGGATCGAATCTTGTGGCAGTCCTCAGTTTCTGCCAGCAATCACCTGTTCTAAGGGCCAGGTGATCTTACCTTACATAAAACACATAATTTTATAAAAAATAAAGCTAGCTTTGCTTCTGTCCTTATGACCAATTAGTTGGTATGTCTTTCCTCTGAATAGAAGGCTTACTCTAAGAGAGTAAGCTTGAGTCACTGCTTCCATTCTGGAGGTCTGTAACATACGACACACAGTAGCTACTGATCTTTCCGGAGAGCTGTGCCCTATATTTACCTGGTAAGTATCAATTTTGTGAAAGAGGAGTTACTCCACTGAAAAATATATCTGGAACACTTAACTCCTGCCATCCTAAAGACCTCTTGCTTGCCAGTCATCTACAGTGGTTCTCCACTTGCAAATCAAGGAGGGATGAATCTTCTGGACTAAGCTTGCTAAACTCTGTGCTTTCCTTCTTGTTGCAGTTTCCAAGCACGAGCACGGTACCTTTGACAACTGTCGTTACCTTCACTGACTTGACGGAATGGCCAGAACCTCCACGAGGCCAGCCCCAAATGCACTGGAAACTCCCATTTGACATTTTTTTCCCATTCAAGGCGGCACTGAATTTGGAAAGAAGTTATAGAGGTGATCTGGCTGGCTGTTTTCTGCTGATTCTAATCATGACTAGTATTCTCTGCTTTTGAACAGTCAAATAGACGGGGCCTGTACTTAAAAGTTTGGTAAGTGAATTGATACATTCAGAATATGATCCAGATCATAGACTTTTCTCCTCGGGTTCTTATACTGTGCCTGTGATATCTATGTGCCTTCTGGGATTAAGCCACAGGAATAACTTCTGTCCTGTGTCCTCTCATGCCCCTATTCTCCATATGCACCATCTGTGAACCTCAGTGCACCGAAACACTTGAGAGATGGAGGGATCAAGACACGCTGCATTGAGGAGCAAGGAGGACGTTAAAATGAATGTTCCATATTTCCAGAAACCAGGAGTGCTTTCTAAACCAGGGAGTACAGAGAGAGGAGCAAAGTTCAGTCCAAGCATTTTGGAGCTGCATTTAGTCATCTCCCTGTCGGAGAAGCACCTGATTTTTTTTTTTTTTTTTTTTACATGGGACTAACTGAACATATAAAATACAGGAGTCCTCCCAGGTGGCCTGAATTATTTTTTTGAGTAGGCAGGTCTGACAGCCACCTTTAACCTGTCCTTGTTACATGACAGCCATGCCTCTGTGACAGTTTTTGACTCATATTTTTCTGTCTTTTCAAATACAGATATTCAGTTGAAATTTTTGTGTTTTAATCACTGTTTACATTAGTAATAGTGTTACACAAAGAAAAGTAATTGTAAATGTCCCATCCTCTGAAATATAATTGAATTTTAGTTGTTTGTCAAGACAGCTTCCTTACTGATTTTTTTTTTTCTTTTTTTTTTCCTTGAAGAAACAGGCCTGAATATGGTTTTTCCTAGATAAGAAACATTCTCTTGTGGCTCCATAGGAATTAGACTGATAACAATAGCCACTAAAATTCTAGGTGGCAGATCAGAGGCAGTTGTGAACAGTCCTAAAGAAAAAAATTCAATTATTTTAGGAAGAATTTGTAGATGTATTATGAGACTGAAGCTTACTGCAATACCTTACCTCTGGCTCAGTCTCTGGGACCATAATTGTAATGCATTTGCATGGCAAGGTTTTGGTAGCTGGAGGGGCTACAGGGGTGGGTTCTGTGAGAAGCTGCTGGAAGT